AGTCCCAGTTCGCTTAATTTTGCTTTTATTGGAGAATGCCGCGTGTTTCATGGGCGAGTCCCAGTTTGCTTAATTTTGCTTTCACTGGAGAATGCCGCGTGTTTCATGGGCGAGTCCTAGTTTGCTCAATTTTGCTTTCACTGGAGATTTCCGCGTGTTTCATGGGAGAGTCCCAGTTTGCTTAATTTTTTTTTCACAGAGATTGTTTTTCGATAGTTGATATGTACCGAGCCATTTCTCTTATTTGTGATATGCTGTGGCTTAGAGGGTTTTGCTCGGTCATTACTTGCGAGATGGCATGCTACGGAACCATTTCCTGGGGTGTTTTGGCGGCGTTCGTCCCTTGCTCGCGTACCTATGCGAGTGCTCATGTTCCTGTTTCGAACCAACAAAAAAGTGATAAGATAAGCCCAAACAAAATCGTCTGTTACCTCGGCCTGACAAGTCAGTGAAAGGAGGAGCAGCGTTGTAGGGTTACTCGCTTCGCCTAGTACTCGAATAGTGGTTTCTGATTTGGCAGCCACGTTTAGCTTCGCCATTTCATTGTGTCTAGACTTCTCGTGAGTTGGGCTTAACTCACCCGTTGGGACACCGAGGTCGAGTCCCAGTCCAATATGCGCAAACAATAAGGGAAACATGTCATGCTTTGTTTATAAATCATCCAGCGTGCATGATACGAAAATAAGGCGGGATATCCTGCTATTCCAAAGGGTCATGCAGTAGGTTATCATCCCTTCTCAAGGGGTGAAAGTTCAGGTCGTTATACAAGGTGAATACATCGCATAGGATTGCGGTCATGCCGAGCGCTTAGTGACCGTGGTTCTACTTCAAACATGTATATGACCTATCAAACCCATCGTTGCGGGTGGGGCATGGGTCTCGTATAGACACCGGTCATGATTTTTATTTTGTGTAGGGATCTGACCTAGATTGATACGGTTATCTCAAAAACTTATCTACCATTCTTTTCGAGTTGGCATTGTTACCGAGATGGTGAGATTGTAACAGCATGGAAGTAATACTTGGCTGGTTCTAGATCTAAAGGAAACTAAAGAATTTGGCTAAGAAATCCCCACAGACGGCACCAAATTTTTTGACTAAAAAGCGTTAAGCCTTTTCGTTAAATCAATTAATGATAAAATAGAGAGTAAATCTTAGACAAACATAATCAACTTTAGATCTAAGCATATTGGGTACTAAAATCGAAGAGATTGAGTTTATATAACATTTCTTAGAATGATTAAACGACATCAAACGTAAATAATAAGCTTACATCTTTGATATATTGTTCCATATTTGTAAAAGCAAAGAAGATAGGAAGAAATCTCGTTGATAACTGTGAGATCTAGCTTTATTGATTCAACAATGGAGATTACAAAGGTTTGTAACCCAAAATCTAGGCTTCTTCCTTTGTTATTCAGAGATCTCCTCCATGTCTCTTGTTTCTTTTCTTTTTCCTCAGACCCTCATCCTTTCTTTTTTCTTTATCTTATATATATATATATATATATATATATATATTATCAATTTCCCCTTTTATCTAACGGTTTTTAACCGGCGTACCCTCTCATGACTGTACTCTTCCCCACTCGCCCAAGTGTTACGTATGTTCTGCTGTGTAAGCCTTCTGATGGCTCGCTCGGCAGTGGCCAAGATACTCGTCGCCATTACGCCTCGCGGGCCCGAACATGGCTTGGTCGACCCCTTACCATTCCCTTTAATGGTAACCATCTTGTGGTCTGATTTTGACCCATACATACAAGAGATCCTTGGATCTTATGAGTAAAATATATATGTTGAATAATGGAATCAATGGACAAGACAAGCTTTGTATATTCTCTGTAGTCAACCTTTACAATGTGTTCTTATCCCAAAAGTGAAGATCCCCCTTTCGTTCTTTATCTCTTCCTATTTATAGGGGATATTCCTAAGAAACCCTAAAAAGTACAACTGAGAGAATATCCAATGGAATATTCCTCTTTTCTATTCTAAACTTACTCTACCGTTGCTTCCGTACGTTCTTTACTTGACCTCGGCATTAATCTTTCTTAAGACGATTCCTCGCCATTGTGCCGCGATCGGCTTAATCCTCGACCACGTCTATTTGCAGTTATTAAGTCCAGTCCAAATTTTGACCAATACATCAACGCGGGCAGTTTGGCCGAGGTCGACTAGTGATCAACAAAACAGCCGAGGTCGAGCAACATAGATAGGATTAACGGCTAGTTTTGTGTGAGGATCCTCAAAGGGAATATTCTATTGGATATTCTCTCTGTTTGTACTTTTTAGGGTTCTAATATCTCATATAAATAGTATGAGAGATAAGGCAAAAGCCATGTAATATCATATATGGTAAGAACACTTTTGAAAAGTAAGCTCTCTAGATAAATACAAAGAACAACTTTCTGGAGAGATTCGACCTTTGGATTATCTATTGTCATTTTCACCAGATCCGAGAAAGTGCTCAATATTCTCTTATACTCTTGTCATTCATCATTGTCAGAAGGAAGAATCATTCACCTTATTCAATATTGGGTGAATCTTTCTCCTTATTTACGTTTATTGCCATTTATTGCTAGTTAATACTTGATACTTTATCCACAATATTACATTCGACACATTTATTGCTTGCGCATTAATTCTGTTTCTTCACTGCTGACACCTTTCGTACTGTCAACCCAAGATATGAAGTTATTAGCTTTAACTATGATTAGCTCTCCTTAATAACTGATTAATTAGTTTAATCAACGATTATCATTTTTTGGTCAAACATGGACTCCATTATTTAATAGTTTTGTCAGTGATAAACATAAAATAAATTGTTAACAGTAAGAATATGAACGAGTTAAAAATATAATAAATGATAAAATTGAACAATTTCACATAATATTGTGTAGGAGCGGTTTGAAACTTTTTCCCTTGTAAATAGATTAAGCGGGCGTTTGGACATAAGAATTGTGAAATTTCGAGAAAAAAATTAAGCAATATATTTGAAAATTAAAGTTGTGTTTGGACATAATATAATTTAGAGCTATTTTTGATTTTTGTTAGTGATTTGAAGTGTAAATTTTAAAAAGAAAAAATAGTTTTCTGAAGTTTTTCAAATTTCGAAAAATTTCAAATTCAACTTTAAGTGAAATTGAAATTTTTTTGGCCATTCTGAAAAAAAAAAATCGAAAGTTAAAAAAAATTGTGGCCCAAGATGATGCTTTAAACACGGAACAGCACGAGTGTTGTATCTCGTAATCAGTTAAGAGTTACGACAAATAGTGTGATAGCTGCTCTAGATAAAATGATATGATACACATTAATCTTCAATCATCAAGTGTGTGCGTTATATTTACATGTAGTTTGTAGGTAATTTACATGGTAATGCTTTGCATCTATTAACTTAAATTCTTAGATATGTAATAACATCCCGATAAACACTTATCTGCATAATGCGTTTATACCAATTCAATATGTCTTCATAAATAAGATTATCACTAATTAGTAGTAGTTAATTAATATATATTTTACCTTAATTTATCATATAATAATACTAAATTAATATGATTTAGTATAAACATCCAATACGAATAAAATTTTACCATACAAGTACATATCTTTAGCAATAATTGGGTGCAGCATGCGACCCCTCAGCTCTAGTAGAGTATCAAATTCGATTGCAGCCGCATGATAATTTCTCTTCATTACAACAAGACTTTCTAGTGACAACTAAGAGAAGAAGAGTATTGACATGCCTCATCATTTGAATTGGCATTTTACCTAATATTGATTTTGCAAGTCTTTTTCTTCTAGCTAGTTGCTTCCTCTCACCAGAAATGAAAGCTCCTATTAGCAAATAATCTCAGAATTATTAATGGATAATGACTTCCCTTTGCTCCTTAATTAATTGGGATGGACCCAACTTTACCATCAAAAATCTTTCTTAATTTATCATTTCAATTAGAAAAAGATTTGTGCCAACTATGAGCTAATTAAACCTGGATTTGTACACCCCACTCAGATTTGCATTATCTTGTCAACTAGTTTGTATAATTTTATGGTACAACCTAAACTTATACTACCTTACCAAGGATTGTTTAAATAGAAAAACATGTTTAAATTTCTTTATCCGATTATAACCATTTGCGTTTTGTAGGTGTTGTACTATGTTTTTAGATGTTTGTACTCACTTTGGTACAACAAGAATAGCCTGTTTGGCCAAGCTTCTCCAACGCCAAAAACACTTTTTTTTTTTTTTCTGAAAAAAATGCTTTTTTTAAAAGTTAAAGTGTTTGTTGAAACTTTTAGAGTAAAAGTAGAAGCAGCTATGGAGAAGTAGAAAAAAATACCTTGTCACAAATATTTTTTGAGAATAATACACTTAAAATACTTTTTAAAAGTTTGGCCAATTACTAATTGGTGCTCAGAAATATTTTTTTCAATTAATAAGTCAAACACAAACTGTTTCTTACCAAAAGTATTTTTGAAAAGAAACAGTTCACAAAATAAGCAGATTTTAAAAGTTTGTCCAAACATGCTACAAGTGTTGTGGCTTGAATTGATTTCCTAGTAAAATGAAGGGCACCCACTTAAGAATACAAAAGGCCCAAAACAGTCCACTATTTTTGGATTTTAAGTTTAAACTAGTCCTATTCTTCTTACATGAAGCACTAATAGTTCACATTTTTAACAAAATGGTGCAATTTCAGTCCAAAACCAAACGACCGGTGTTATTTTCTTACAAAAGGAATCTCTGTTCCTCTCCTCCAGTTTCAGTCCTGTCTGCATCTTTGAACAAAAACCGATTGACGTTGTTCCCTTCTTTTCCCCCAATTTTTCAGAACCCTAATATACAAATTGGGGAGATCTAAGGGGGAAATCAGGCGCGATACATAAAGTTTTTGTCGAAGAGACGGAAATCTTGTGCCTGGAATTGCAACAATTGTGTTGAATCTTTCTCCAGGTACCATACTTAGAAGAGAGCGATTCTTTTTCTTTCTTCCCTTTTTCTTCTTCTTCTTCTTCTATGCCTCTGAATATATGCTTGTTCCTTTTGTGAATCCCTAATTGGATGCTCATTAACACTAAAACGCTGATATTTCGAGGTTCTACAGCAATCAAGAGAGAGCAAAGATGAATTGAATGGTGGCTTTAGGGGAGAAATTGACCAAAAATATTCACGATCACTAACTTGTTTGAATTTGAATTCTGCATATGGGGTTGTGTAGTTAAGCCAATGTTATTGTTGCCTTTGACCAAAAGTTGTTTGCTGAAATGTCTTGCTGGGCATTTTAATCCTCTGTTGGTTATGTTCTGTTGAACTTCTCCTGAAGATTGCTGCACTCGAGAATTGCAGCTTTGATAGTACTTTGAGACTGTAATGTATGGTGTCTCATCCCACTCTATGGTAGCATGCTATAAGTAAAATTAATCTTCTTGGTATAGGTTCTTTTTTGAAGAATTAACTTAAATAGCCGCCCGCTTAACTGCTTAAACCGAAAACAGCTACCAGCTAGGTAAAGTAAATACTGAAAACCCGCACGCTGTTTATGTAAAAACCCTTCTTTTTTGGTATATTTGCCCTTAGTTGCTATAGGTTCTTTTTTGGTATCCAGATTAAGGGTGAGAGTCTACTTGAGACAGATCATAGCATATAATGCAAAAAAATAAAAAAATAAAAAATAAAGCAAAAAAGCTGGAAGATTGTTCCAACTTGCATATGGTGAACAGTTTGGAAGGAGAGGAATGCAAGATATTTTGAAGGCAAGAGCAGTTCAACAGAGAAAATCACGAGTTCTTGCATTTCTCTTTTTCATTTTTGGTGTAAAGAACAGTTGATAGGTGATGTAGAATCACTACTAGACCTTTTTGATTCTCTGTAAGATTTCAGGGGTTGTACTTGTAAATATTAGATACCAGCCCTGTTTTTTGGGTGCTGATGAATATAATTGTTACCTTTTTCAAAAAAAAAAAAAAAAGGATCGCCAGAGCAATACTGTGACTGTCCTAGCATTTTTTTTCAACGTCCTAGCATCGGGGTATAAAGATTAAGGTCTGTTGGCATTGAATATGGCATTGAATATGTTGTTTTCTTCTAAGCTTTCTAACTTTTGATACTTTGCTGCAGGTTCATGGAGCAGACTTACCAATACTTGGTGAAATTGATTCCGGTTTAGACGAAGTAGTGGAAGATTAAAAGACGGAGACAAATATAAGTTTTTAAATAAGGGATTAAGATGATGGAAGGAGTTAACTAGTAAGAAGTTCCTAGACCTACCCCCCCTCGATCCGCACACTCTTACCTCCTCTACCCGCACCTCCTACCCAAAGAAAGCACGAAACCTAAGAGGATCTACTAAAAGAAGCAAGAAATGGGGGTAAGCAGGAGGAGGCTGCTGGTTTCAGATTTCATCATGTCCTTCATGTGGGTCTGGTCAAGTGTGCTTATCAAGATGTTTGTTCACACAATGTTGGGTTATGGGGCTCATGATCTCAAAGGTGAAATCCTCAAACATTCAATATCTGTCATCAATATGTTCTTCTTTGCCTTCTTGGCTAAAGCTACCAAGGGTGGGGCCTACAACCCTCTCACTATCTTGTCCGGTGCCATCTCTGGGGATCTCTCCAATTTCCTCTTCACTGTCGGTGCCAGAATTCCTGCTCAGGTCTTTGGTTCAATTACTGGGGTTAGGCTCATCATTGCGGCATTTCCAAACATAGGGCGTGGACCTCGTTTGACCATCGACATCCACCGGGGTGCACTGATTGAAGGGTGCTTGACATTTGCGATTGTTACCATTTCACTTGGACTTTCCAGAAGAAGTCGTGCGAGTACCTTGATGAAGACGTGGATATCCAGTCTGTCCAAGCTGACTCTTCACATTCTTGGTTCTGATCTAACAGGGGGGTGCATGAATCCAGCCTCTGTGATGGGGTGGGCTTATGCTCGGGGGGATCATATAACCAAGGAGCACATACAGGTTTATTGGCTTGCTCCAATACAGGCAACTTTGCTGGCTGTGTGGACTTTCAATTTGCTAGTTTCCCCACCAAAGGACGAAAAAGAGAAGATGAAAGAGAAAAAGTCAGAATGAAGGGGATTCCTAAATTATTGGTGATCGTACAGTTTGAATTTTGTATCACGTCTTTCTCCAGTATGATTGCCTGAACTTAATTTTCTGTTTTTAACTTAACATGTATAATGTTCAGTTAAGGATGTACGCTTTGTCTCAATGTTGTAACCTCTCTCAAGAGCGATTGAGGATCTCGAGAACCTTTCCAAATTTCTGTCTTCGCAGGGTGATTGGAAAAGAGACGAGTATTTAATTCTTTTACTACCTTTCATTCCACTATTCGGATTGAAGTAATTGCTTTTCTGAACAACCAAGTCATAATGGGATTAAAAGCGAATGCTTCCTTGGCTGTGTGAAACATGGATTAGCATTATGTCATTCCTACAAGTGATGACCCACCCAAAATTGCTATGTAAAAACATTATATAATATGTTTTTTTCGTTCCTCGTGAGCCACTTATTCCCCTCCCCCAAAAAAAAAAAATGTGTCAAAAAAATCACTGCTCAAATAAAGAATGAGAAATAAGAGATATAATAACAATGACTACCATATTTTCTTGAAATAATTTACTACAGTGCATCCTATTCTTGAATATATTAAACTTTGAAGCTAATACAATTCGAGAGTAAATTAATAAGAGCTGGCATTTGTTATGAACCAACATCAACTGATGCTTGAGCCTACTATACTTCTGTACACTTCAAAATCATGGGGAAATGACAAAAAAAGAAAAATTACAAACAAAAAAAGAAGAGAAGAAAAAGTTAAGTACAAAGATCATGGGGAGATGATGAAGGAGAAAAACTAAAAACAGAAAGAAGAGAAAAAATTAATAATAAACAAGTACAAATATCTTTCTTTGTCAGCAGACTTTTGTTGGGTCCCTAAATCCGATGTTAAAATTATTAGGCAACCGTCTGTTGCCCAAATTTGCATTTCCTTTCTGCATCATCGCCACAAACTCTTTATAATCTATCCGACCATCCTGAAATGTAGGAACAGATAATTCAACAAGATGTAGTGATAAGAAAGAACGAAAAGCATCATTCTGAAAGACACAGACCACTGGAAAAGATCCTAACTGTCGCTCTATACATTTTGATACTCTCGCGTACATGTTTAAGTATAGCTGCATATGCGTTTTGACCACTAAATATGTATCCTCAATGTGGTTGTGTCAGACAGGAGAGTTGCGTTGACATCAATGTTATATAGCCTACCATTACTTTCATGCATTACTAAGTATATTTGGAATAGAGAAATGCCAGTAGAACTACATACATTATCTTGATCAACTTCTTGAATGATTTCATCCAAGCGGACATCCTTTATGCCAAATTCCTCACAAGCCTTTTGAAGTTCATCTGCAGTAATATACCCACTCCCATCTTTGTCAAAATATGAAAAAGCAGCAGAAAGATAATCTTCTTTCTCAGCTTTGTTGATGTGAAGCATTGCAGCTATGAATTCTCCATAGTCAATGGTACCACTGTTGTCAACGTCCGCCTGCGTTTTTTGGGAGAAAATTTGAAGTTAGATAAAAAGAAAGAAATATAAAATTATCTAATGAAGAATGTCTTCACACAAACATAGCAGTTGCTTAGCACAAATTCTTAGACAAATAATTTGGCTTAGCTGCTCATAATGAGAACATAATTTCTAGAGGACAAACAGGTCCACAGATATTATACTTCTCAAGGCACAAAGGCTTTGTTTAGGTGACAAGACAAAAGTGCTACTAATAAAGAGTATTATGTACTCAATAGCTCAATCAAATGCTGTAACTGCAACCTTTTCCAATCGTGAGTTAGAATTCTTAGGTACTCCTAACAAATGGTGCGACAGAAGGTTGACTGCACGGTGGCATTTTGGATACTTTTATGTAACTAACAGGCGCTAGCAATTTCATAGAGAGGTACACTGCATGGTTGGCATGATAACAACAAACTACGGCTAAACAAGCATAACCTGTTACACAATTGCAAAAGTACTAAAGAATTTTACTACTGATATATTTCGTTGAAATTAAATTTGGAAAGGAGTTGGAAAAGAATATCAACTGCAGATCAGTTCTTCTCTCCTGGTTGGTGATCTAAAGGTTGTCCGATGGAATTGATTTGATGGTACCTACTAGAAAGAACTAGATACTTGGTGCGCAAACACTTTCCAATTACAAGAAAAACAAAATGCTCATTTTTCCTGTAAAGGCTTCTTTGTACCACAGCTAGACAAAAATGCCTTAAAAGATAGGCAAACGTCATCCTTTCTCCAAACTTGACCTCATTTTAATAGTATTTGACTATGAGAGAGATACAAACAGTTGGTAAAAGGGTATTTGCAGTGAGTTCTCAAAGCCCATTTCTTAAGGATTCGACACTTCTCATTCCCATATTTACAATCCACACATAGACAGAAATAAAAGCAGATAGAGAAAGGATCTAATTTCAGCCTAATTTTGATGATTTTCAAGGTTAGATGGAGACTGTCACTGAATTATTTAAACCCTGTGCGAGTAAAGTAAATGATCTCCTTGATTGGCCGCATGGCATTTAATACTGAATAGTTATGGAAGACTAGAAGTCCAAAACCTACCGCCTTCATCAAGTCTTGTATCTCTGTCTCACTAAGATCAGCCCCAAATTGCTTTAGTCCAATCTTCAGTTCATCTAAAGTAATATGTCCACTGTTATCTGTGTCAATCATTTTGAACATCTCTTTCAAGCCTGCAATTTCCTCTTCAGAAAGACTCTCAGCAATAACCTGTATGATACAAATAGATTTTTGTCATTGGAAGAAACAAGACACCTTTTGATTCTTGAACTAGATTAACTTTTCATGCGTGTGTTGGGAGCTACAAAAATTTAACTGCAATTTTAAGTTTAAAAATTGGCTCTTTTTTTTTTCCTTCCTTTTCTTGGGGCGAGGGAGGAGGGAGGAGGTTAACAGCCACTTTTAGTGGTCAATCCCATTGAAACTATAATTCGTTTACTAATATCTTACCATGAGAGCCATTTTCTTAAGCTTGTTCATGGCAGAAAACTGTGTTAAGCGACTCAATACTGCAGAATCAAGAGGCTTATCTGGAGCCACACCATCAATCTTCACCCAGGGATGGCCTGCAAAAGGGAAAAGAAGAATAATATGCCCCCGAATCTTGAAAGTTTAATGACAAAGCAATCCTCCTATGCCGGTAACCGCTTGATGGAGAGGTATCACATGTTGGAAATTAAAAGGCAAATATGGACAAGTATAGACAATCTAAATTGAGAAGAATAGAACCAAAACTATCTCCATAGAAAGACTTCCTTTTTCTCTGAATTGACTTAAAAAGACTATTATTTCCCTACAAGTGCTCTATCAAGATCAACTTGCAGAAGATGAACAGCTAGCATAACAAAATTCCCAATTCTACACCAGACGCAGATACATTTTTCTGATTGTGATATTCTTTTAGGCAAATATGTTTGAAATTCTAGGTGAACCGAAAAATACAAAGTAGCTAAGGACTCACATAGACCAACAAAACACCAAAAAGACATCACGATTTCACCACATTCTCTCAGCTCCTAAGCAAAATGGTTCTCACAGCATCTCTAAGCATAATATATGAAAGGCTGGATTTTAAATATGAAGTTGAAATCAACGACTACTCACATAGAACTTCATGTGCGGTAAGTCGCTCTCTGGGGTCCCTAACAAGCATTCTCCTTACCAGATCTTTTGCATCTTCAGAAATGTTAGGCCAAGGATCTGATACGAAGTCAATATCGGCACGTAAAACCTCGTCGAATATTTCCTGCTCACTTTCTATCCAAATGATGAATGAAGTAAACATGAGAAGCTGTTTTTGGTACTTCACATAACCAGGAAACTATGGAAAAACTACAAAAACTGTAATCCATAAAACTTGAAAAGATCAACTTACCACCCCAAAATGGAGGTACACCAGTGAGAAGAATGTAAATTATTACACCTGCACTCCAGATATCAGCCTCCTGACCATATCGCTTAAGCAGAACTTCTGGAGCAACATAATAAGGGCTTCCAACAATATCAGAGAATATTTGTCCTGTGGTTAAGAACATAACCCAATCAACTAGGTAATTTAAAAGCAAAAGCTCATCAATAAAGAAGACAGGTGCATGCTAGAAAGCACATGTTATTAAGAGAGTATATAGAATAACTGATGCTAAGGATATTTTCCATATAAGATGATGAACATCATATTAAGGAGATGATAACCCTTCTAATTAATACAACTCTTACGAAATATTAAGGACAATAATAACCCTTCAAATTAATAGAACTTCTATGAAATCAGAAGCGGCATCGCTTTTATGACCTAAGAGTAATAAAAAAGAATGGGTTCTCAACATAAACTATCGGATATAGATACGCAATGCTATTGACTTCACAAACAAATAAGTTTGGAGCTTTCAAGGCTTTGGACAAGGAAAGACTTCCATCTATCCATATCAAGGGAACAACTTTTACTTTTTAAAAAAAAAATGTAATGCCTAAATGTTTTGGACCAAAAAATTAAAAGTAGGAGCTGGTGTCTAGAATTCCAATCAAGTAATTACTACTACAAAGGCACCTGCAGATGGCCTGTTGAAATTGAATACTTGCTAAAAACAAATCAAATTCTTTCAAATCCTAGATTCCCAACAATAATTCTACCAGATCCTCATATAATGTTCAAAGATTCCCAAAATATTGCTCTCATTTTGCACCTCATTTTTTTGGTAACCGAGAAATCCCCGAGGGCCAGTGGTGCACGGTTCGGAACTCAGTGGGAATGGAGCCATGCCTCTACCCTTCTCCACTTAAATACCAAACTTCGGTTTGTAGCAGAGTTCGAACCCCTGATGTTGCTTAAAGTAACATATCTAATCATGTTTTCTTTGCATGTGTCAAAGTACTTGCAGGTGAAACTGTTTTAACTACATCTAGGAGTTTTAACTCCTGCTTTGAGGTATATACACAACTACATTGTTTGGAAAGAATTTTTCGCCCTTATGCTTACACTATTTACCTTAACATATCCAATATGTTTCAGTCAAAACTAGAGTCCAAAAGCTGAAAAGTGTTTTCATTGGCTAATGGCTATGCCCCAATAAACAAGGGTACAATTGTTTCACTCCTTCCGCAGAAAAGGTTCATGCATCTTAATAAGCGGATTAGAGTAAATAAGCTCTAGTTTTGTCAAATACCTTGTATTTGTTTCTCTTTAGTATCTAGCAAATGTTCTGTGGATTCCTCAAGGATAATCTCTTGC